GGTTGAAATATATATTAGTACGAAGATTTGCATGGACAACTGATGTAATATAAGGGTCATTTTCATTGTAGTTTTCATGAGGATTGACAGTAAAGTGAAAAGTAATACTTGGTGTGGTTGGTTTAAATTTGCTAATAAGATCATCTAGAGAAAAAGGAGTGTATCTGGTGGTATAAATGACATAAAACCTACACAGTGGTCAATGCCAATTATTTCAATAATTTTAGAAGAACCAAAACCTTCAAAATATTTTAATCCATAGGTATCTGTAATGACATTTTTAGTAAATTGAACACATGCAAGCATGTGATCCCTGTTGTTATACTTATGTACCATAAAATATTTGATAGTTGCAAATTTGATCACTTCTTTTGATTTTTTTGGTGCATTACTTCTTGAAGAATTTAAATCAATGGCTATATTAATCTAAAAATAAATTCATCCAAATATTATAAATTAGTAAAAAATATTATTAATTAATTAACATATTGAATAAATATTAATTAATATATACACAACAAAATTATTATTTCTTATATCTTCTTTGTTTTTTGCATCATATAAAGATTTGATAATATGACCATGTTTATTCATCAATTTTGCATATTTTTAAAATTTTAGAAATTTCCTAAATAAAAATTATGGTTAAAACTATTGTAATTTAATTAAAAAAAAAGCCAAACCTTCCCCTCTTCTCATCAATCATCCCTCACAATGAATCATTGCCATATACTTTTCCAAACAACAACAAATACTTCCATTCTTTTTACAACTATATACTTCCAGGAATTCGTGCATTTAAACCAGGTTTCACCACCTTTGACAAAACCATTGACATGCTTTCAAATAATCTACCAAAAAAATTGATTGCTGAATGGAAAAATGATATTGATATTAGTTTATTCACTCTTCAATTTGCAAAAAGAAAATTCATTACAAAAAATTTATGCAATTTACTTGACTATATTTTTACCAAACTTGACTATGTCAAATTCTTTGCCACTAAAATTCCACCTTCACCACATAATGACTGTCTTAATGTATTTAGAAACTGTGCTCGATTCTACTTATACCTTCTAAACAGATAGAAATTGCAATGTAAACTATATTATTGATAATGATAATATAGATTTTTAAGTTTTTTTGAATAAATATACAACATGTAAGGAAATTAAAATACAAATTTTATATGTTTTTTTTTACCAGGAATAACATACATTGTGTAAGAAATAACATACACTGTGTAAGGAATTAAGATATACATTTTTCACATTAAACAATAACATACATTGTTTAAGGAATTAAAACTTACATTTTATGGGGTTTTCATAACATAAATCATGTAAGGAATTAAAACTTACAATTTATGGTATTTTTCTTACACCAAAATAATAACGTACATCATGCAAGGGATTAAAACCTACATTTTATTGGGTTTTCTTTTGCCAGAATAATAACGTACATCATGTAAGCAATTTGATATAATTCTGAATATATTTAAAATATGGTAATTTTCAAAACTTACATCGAGTACATTCATTCCGTATTTAAAATTTTATTCCTTACATATTGTAAGTAAATTCTTACATATTCCGTACATTTATTTTCTATAGGGCTTGCTTCCTCAGACAAGTTGGATATATGGCTCTCAGGCATAGGCAGTTTGCTTTGATGATAGTTTATTTTTCTGCGATTTTGTTCATTAATTTATATTGGTAAGAGATGGTAAAAAGATATTTAAATTTACTTATTATTATTATATAGGATATACAAAAAATATAACTCAGGGGTAGGGGCCTGAGGATATTGATAATGTAACTTTATTTTATTTCAGAGAATAAGACTTTATTATTGTACCTGTTTCAATGCTCTTTCCAATGCGAGAAAATGTTCTGTGCCTAGAATGTTCAATTTGGTAAATGTGTCATATAAGGCATTTGGTCTGTATTTTGAAGGACTTAAATTTGGATGATGAAGGAATTTTATGAGGAAAGGTAAATATTTTCGAGCTGAATTTTTATATATTATGTATGTAGAGGAGAAAAAAAACCCCTTTACCAAAGTTTCTATCAACAAAATTTACTTCTATTATATTAATATATATTTAGTGATAATTTACAATTTACCATAGGTATCCATTTTCTTGAAGTATCAATATTTTTTCTATCCATTCATCGTCATTATAACTCCTTGCTTGAGAATTACCTGCATCCTCATGCAATTGGAGCATAAAATTTAATACCTGGATTTGCCCTAATGAGTAAACAAAGGTTTGGGAAAAAAGACTAAAATTAAATGTAATTGAAAAATTGAAAGAAATGTTCCTGGTTGGTAATATAGAGAAAAATAATAAATTCTCACTAGAAGACATGTTGAAACAACTTGAAAAAATGCTGAAAACAATGAAATAAAAGCTAAGAATATTCCCACTCTCCAACAAATTAAATCATGGGTATCTTAATTTAGCCATCATCACAAATTAACAAGCTAGCACTAACTCTAATTAATGTAAAATTATTTTTTATATATTAAAAATTGTTATTTAATGAAAAATTAAATATTATATAACAATAAAGTGGTCTACTAGTGCTTATTGCTCCACCATCCATTGCCTTAAGTTGGGCCATCAAAAATATATCTTGTTCAGTCTTGGAAAGAGCTTGAAAGGATTCATGTGATTCTGCAAATTCTTCCATGGGAATTCTTGAAGAACAACCACATTTACAACCTTTTTCTAAAAAATCAATTACTTTTTCATATTCATTGGAACCATTATATTAGTTACCTTTGTTAATACTTTTCATATATACTTATCCCTATATTAATATATGTAATTTTATGTTCACTTTGTAGTTTTTTCATAGTTGATTTAAAAATTGAAGTATATGAATAGAATTAAACTTAGATGAACTAATGAAATAAATAGTTAAGTAAATAATTTAAAAAATATGATTGTTCAGTAACTTATGAAGAGAAATTGAAAAGTTTGGCCAGCTGGCTTCATGAAAGATAATCATGGCCTAGATTTAAATTGACCTATCATCAACAATCAAAATGGGAAAAGACAACTTGATAATTCTATTATGTTTGTATTTATCAGATAGTATCAATCAAAAACAATATAAATAAAGTACTTAAAAAACAAACAATAAATGAATATTTGTAATATTTTATTTCATAAATAACAAATTAGTAAAAAATTAATTATCTTTACCAACATACAATAATCATAGAAAACATTATTGTTATAGAAAGATTTTATTTTTCAAAATAATCAAACTTCCTTTGTTTCTGAAACTAAGTTATAAATTGATATAATGATTATTATATATTAGGATAAATAATTTGAATTGTAAAATGTTTCCTACAAAGAGAATCAATAATTATATAAGCAAAGGTGGAATAAAAGACACCACATTATATCAATACAAATAAAAAAAAAGTACCACTGGTTAGTTATTAACACGTTTTCTTTAGGAGACCCAAACAACAACACTCACGTTTTGTCACCTTGGTCTCTGTCTAAAAATATATTGTTTTTCCAAAAAAAAAAATCAATTTGTGTCTAGTGATCACCAGTGTATAAAATTCATGTGCACAGTCTGCACAGTGCACAACCCCCTTAAACTGTGCACAATGAGATAAATATTTTTGTGCAGACTCTCAACAAAAATTTTAAATATATTGCACAAATTCAATGAGAAATTTTTGCATTATTACATTTTTCTATGTATAATGCACAAAAAAAATTAAAAAAACTAAACTACTTACAATTTTTTGTGCATACACTCACCTACCATAAATATCCGACCACCTGATGATCATTTTAATAATTGGGGAACTTATACCTCACGCAGTTCAAAATTTTATTAATTAAACCGGGACTGGTGCATTAAGTAAACATATTTTTAAAGTCAATTTGAATATAAACTTAAAGTTTCGTTGAGTTTGCATTATTAATGAATTTAGGATGAAAATTTTAAATTAGGCAAAAAATTGTGATTTTTATGAAAACTTCAAGCTTAGTAAAAAGGTTCAAAACTCTGTTAAATTATGGATTATGTCATTAAGTAAGTCCACTTAAAATACCTTGAATTATATATGGTTAAAATTTGAGAAAATTTGATCAAGTATAGACAACAAAACGTAAAGCCTTAAAATTTGCATTTTGTCAACTTTATTATGATAAAATTACGGGGTGGTCGGATACTTTTTTAAACCTTTTGTATATATATATATATTACTTTCATGTATATGTGATTTTTTATCCATCAAATATTTTAGTAAACAGTGGAAGTAAAAATTCAATAAAAAAAACCAAGATCTTGTTTTAGTGTAGAAAGCAATCAATTCATTAAATAAATTGGATAGAATTATTAAACTGGTTAACAATCAAGAAAAAACAAAATTTTAAATTTTATTATAGATAGTTAAATGCACATTGTTATTTATTATTTGTAAAATCGTCAAGTTGGGCCGCAAACTATTTCTCTTCTACCTTTTGGTTTTTTTCTAGGTTCTTCATGGTTTATATTGGTACTTTTTAATATTAGGCTTTATAAAGAAGAAAGAAGAAAATTTAAAGGTCAAATTCGGTGAGTGAGTTTATTCCAAAGAAAAGTACCAGAGAAACGAGGACAACTAGATGAAGCAACTGAACACATAAGTTTGGCTCATCAAGATATTGAAAATTTAAGAGAAGAATTAGCCATTGAGCAAGGTCATGCTCAAGTAATGGATGATTGATATAAAAGACAATTAGATGGTGGGAATGCCCAAAGAAGGAATAAAATTAATCAATGAAATGAAGAGCTGAAACAAGCCATTGAAAGCAAAAATAGTCGAGCAAGAAATAAATGACAACCAAAATAAAGATAGTCTAATTCAACAACTAACTAATGAAAACTGAAGTTTGCATCAGCAATTGAATGAAAAGAATGAAATAAGTGACTTGAAAAATGAGATGACAAATTTAAAGCAGGAAATTGAAAACTTAAAAAGAAATCATTGAATGAATGAGAAGAAAACTAAATGAAACAAAAGAGATTAACAGGTCATGAAAGCCAAGAACAGAGCAAGAAAGACGTGTTGGTTTTTTTTGCAGTATATTACATATTAATATTAATTTTATTAATTAATTATAAATCCTCAATTTTAATTATTAAAACAGCATTTTTGAATAATTTTTATTGTGTTTAAAGAAAGATTTGGCCAAAAGGTTGCAAGAAATTGTAAAATTACATCATCAGATGTCATTATACATGAATTATTATTATCATCATTATCTTTATAATTGTCACTAACATTCCCATCACTAATATCCATATAATCATTATTGTTGTTATCATCATCATAACTATCTAATGTCAATAATTCCTGCTTTTGATTTATTTTATTTTTTAATTCCATTACATAATTTTTAACTGTGGATATGGTATAATGATCAGGTATTTCATTATAATTGAGCCATAATGATAATTGACGTAGTAATTGTTTTTTATTTTCATTACCACCAAGTTCCTCATTACTGGGAAATTCCGAATTGCTTAAATAACATTTTATTAGTTGTACTAAATATTGTTGTTGTTTTTGATGATGATTTGGTTGTTGTTGATCAGTGATGTTAATATTCAAAGGACATGGCGAAAGAAAAAATGTGAAAGGAATTTCAAAGAATTGCTTTAATTTTAATTTTAATGATGCTTCAAATTCTTTATTAATAAGCCTTTTATCGTCACCCACTTCCTCATTATAATCATCTTTACCACCATTACTATCAATTCTATTACTAGCAATAATATCACCGTCAATTGTATTGATTTTTTTGGATGAGGAAATATTTTTTGCATTTTTATAATACTCTAGAATTAAAATTGCATTACATAAGTTACTTTCATTCAAGTGTTCCAAATTTTGTTGAATCTGATATAGTGCAAGATACATCTGAATTGCTTCTGGATTATCCAAATATAGACATTCTGTCAAAATTGCTGTGCAGAATGATGATAATTCACTCTCTACACCTGATGATGATGATGATGTATTTTCACACAAGTATTGTGTAAATGCTAAAACTTGCGGATCTGATGAAAATATTTTTATAAAATCATATTTATTCTCAATGGTAAGTTTTTTCTTGTTACCAATATACATACTACTACCTCCAGGAATTATTCGCGTAAATAAATTCCATATTCCTTGTGGATCCTATACATATACATATACATATTGTGTTATTATTAGTTATTTATTTATGTGTATATATTTATGATATCTTTACCTCTTGATAAGTTAAATGCCCTGTTTTCCTTTTTAAATGAATTGTAGGATTCCTCCAAAATCTTTTATCAAAATCTATATCTTTACCAAAGTTTAAATTAATAGGCCAATATCTTGGACTATTGATTTCAATTGTTTTGATAAATTTAGATTCAGGTAATAAGCATGGTGCAACAAATTCTTTTATCTTGATGTCTGCAACAATGTTACTAATAACCTCTTTCTCCTTGCTAACAATAATATTGTTTTCTCCTGCTCCTCTGCTTTTTTCTTTTGTTAACTTCACTTCTTTACTATTATAATAATCTTCAAATATTATTTTAATTGGTGCCTGGCATGCCTCTCTTGTTTCCAAGTCTCTCAAAACCAAACATCGAGGCTCAACTGCCAAAACCCATAAATGTCTAAAAGCTTGCAAATGGGCTCGGTTATCATATGGTTCTATTGGATACCTGGGAAACAAAGAACAAACCAATGCAGCAATTGCTTTGTTTGATGTTGAGAGTGTATAATGTCCACCGCCCAAAAACAAAAAACCCAATGCCATGCTTGTTACTGTGTAGGTACCATATGAATTTAGATTATGTGCTCCTGGAAGATTTACTTCTTGTCGATGCAATTTTCTTAATCTCCTTAGCACATCCAGATTACCAGTACCCGCTACTACTATTGATGTTGAAGTTGCCAATACATTTAAACATGATTTAATAGTGGATTTTGTAATCTTTTGATCAAATGTCATTGCTCTTGAATTGCTAAGACCTATGAAATAGTCAAGATAATGAATAAGACATTTTAATGCATTCTGGTCTGTTGAACCGGCAAATTTCAATGCCATACTAAAACAAGCACCAGCCAATATATTATAATAAGCTCTTTTAATCGGTTCCAAATTTAAATCAAAATCATCATTTTGATAATGACTACGATTATTTAATCTAACTTTCATATATTTAGGAACATGATTTTCGACCCAATTTTGTGAAGATCTAATATTATCCCACATTATTAAATTTCTAGCTAATATTCTAACCAATAAAAAATCAGGCCGTATATAGTCCAAGTAGAATTCTGTTTCGGGAATAGGAATTTTATTGGCTATGTTTAATTTATTTGTTTTCAAGTATAATAAACCCAGTGCTATTGTTGCACTTGGTGATGTCACATTAATGTTGTTAACATTGTTGGTGCTTCCTAAATTGCTACCTTCTGTTGATGAAGTTGATGAAGAAGATGAAGTCGCAGTTAGTTTACCACCTAAACCAGTAGCTAGAGCACCTCCACCAATATAATTATCACCATTATTCTCGCCACTACCTCCTTTACCATTAGCACCACTACTAGCACCACCAGTAATATAAAGTCTTAATTCTCTAGAAAGATTAAGATCAGCTATTCCATGTGCATCATCACCTTGACCCAAAGCAATAAATCCTAATGCAAATCCTGCAGCTAGTGAATAGCCTTCTGTATAATCTGTTTCAGAACTATTTGACCGTTTTAAAGCCTTGACACCAATTTCAGATAACATGATTTGTGTATTGTATCGATTACATGTGCCCATATACAACAACCCAATCCCGATTAATGAAGCAGTTTGAATCAATGGTGAAACATTTAGATAATTAGATTTTGGTGGTAACATTGAAGTAATATGGACAGCCAACATTCTTGTGATATCAGAATTCATTGTTCCGCAGTATGATGCTGGTAATCCGATGACTAATGCAATATTTGTCATATCATGTTTTGGTGATTTCATCAAATAGTCTACAGCTTGCCAGATTCCCATTGATTTCAAGTGACCATTAATTCCCAACCCCATAAGGAATCCTGCATGGCTGTTGTTAAGTTCCTTTGGTTTGTTGAGCTCAATCCATGAGCCAGTTACATCTTTGGAGGTGGGTGATATTCTTAAAGCAGATGCTACACCCTCATGAAATTCTGGCCATTCTAAACAGTCTTGTACACGAAATGCACGATCTATTTGTACAACAGTGTTGTATGGTAATACTTTCATGGTTGTATTTAGGCTTGGTATTGGAAAAATTTCAGTTGATATTGGAGTTGCTGTGTCGTATGTCATTATTCCACGACCTAGTGGTAATGCAAAATTTTTTATTGAGTGTGCTTGCACACGCTCAACAATTTGTGGTGATTGTTCTTCATTAGGGGAACTTTTTTTTTTGTTGATTGATTGAGTGGTTAAATAAGTAATTAATTAATATATTTGTTGAATAATAATAATTATAATTATTATAATTATTCTTTTGATGCTACCTTAGTTCAGAAGCAGGCAAATCAACCTTGACGATAGTAGTATTTTGTAAAAGACGACGAACTTCATCCAATCTCTTATCTTTACCAAATCTTAAATCAGTGATTTCATGATTTGAGATTTCCGTGCTGTCAACTTCGTCCAATGAAACACCTGGCCTTGGATGAAGAACTGTATCGATTATTTCTGCCTGGTACCTTGGTTTTGGTTCCCTTCTTACGCCTCTTGAATGTATGTAACCTATCGGTTTACCAAGTTCTAATTCCGCTAAATCTTCTCTACCTATAATTTTATTCATAACAATTTAATTTATTAATTGATTAATGATTAGTGATAATTAAAAGCGACAAAATGTTCCCATTCCAAAACCAAAAAAACTACCAATTAGAATGTAGGCATCAGCCGGCCAATTGCTCGGTGGCAGTTCTCGACATTTTCTAATAGCCTCATGTAAAGGAACAGAAACTCCAAATGGCAATGCTTCAATATCTTTGTGTTTAAATCCAATATCAACCATTTTCAATATCATTGATTCCACACCACCATTATTACTACCATTAATCAACTTATTATAGATCTTTATAATTTGTCTAGTTCTTAAACAACAGTCTACCTCATGTACCATATTATTAACGTCATCATCATAATCACAATCATTATTTTGTTGTAGATCTAGTAGTGCTGATGATAATAGTTTTGTAATATCAATTGGGCTTGGAAAGTATTTAAATTTTTTAGAACGGAATAAATTCATTAACCATTTGATTATGTCAGGCGGTGTATAGAATAGATGAGTTGGTTGTATTTTTGTTTCTTTAATCACTTCTACAAAATAATTAATAAAATTTTAAAAATTAAAAAATAAAGTAAGTTAATTAATTAATTAATTAAAAGTACCATTTATTAATTTTAAATGATTTTGAATTCCATAATATCTTTTATAATAATCAACATAATGATTCCAACCAAGAAATAATGCCAATTGAATTAACAAAGGTACAAGATCATTGATTAATTTTTGCGACAAAACATCTAATCTCATATCTTGATAAATCAAATGTAGTGAGAGCAGGATGTAGGGAAGAAAATCTGGAAATGATTGTTCTAGTTGTTCTATTTTTTGCTGTTGATGTGAGTTGGAAAAATGAAGTTTTCTAGATTTTTGAAATAGTTTATATAATAAATCATCTATTTCGATATCTTTTTCTTGTGTTGATTTTAATTGAGGAGTAGAGGGTGAGGTTGGTGGTGGTTTTAAACATTTGAAATGGGTGTTGAAATTGAATTTTTTATGATCTGTGGTTGACAATAGAAAATCCCAACCATCCAATTCTTTTATCTTATTATCACCATTATCAATGTCATTATTGTCAATATCAATGTCACCATCAATTTCAATGTTGAAATTTTTGTTATTATACATGGAGCTGAAAAATGAGAAAAGTATAATAACAAAATTTTCCCATTCAGTATTATTTTCTTTTAGTGAAGATGAATTAGTATCAAATCTTCTGAATTGATAAGTAAGATAACGAGCTTTGAAAATAAAAAATATTTTTGTGGGTAGAGCATAACTAAGCGCCTCTAGACAATTACGAACTAGTAATGAGTTGGGAATAAAGTTGAGGTCTGCTCGTAGACAAACATGATTATTGAGAACTATATTTACACGATGTAGAACATTGTCTTGGATGTCAATTATATCTTTTGTTGTTATGTTTAAATTTACTTTGTAATTCAAATCACTCGATGATGATGATGATGTATATGAGGATGTAGATGAGGAGAACACGTTTTTGAGATTATCTTCTTTCTTTTTTGATAAAACAAAGTACACAAAGTTTTCTATTGATGGATCAATAACAGAATTAATATCTTGGATTGATTTTGATCATGTGATTCTTTCGTTTTTATTAATATTAACTTTGGAATCATCAGACTAAGATCAAGTTAAAGAAAGAAAGAAAAAAAAAATTTTTGTCATTTTTACTTTTTCATTTTATTTACGATTTTCAACCAATCAATTACAATTAGACATTCGTATTACGATTTCACGTGATGATAATATTTTTAATCTTCAAATTTATTATTTTATTGAAGAATAATCTCAATAGAAATGGAAATATGCGTTTTGGGTGAATTTATTCCTTTTGGTACAAATTCTGATAATAACAATAATAATAATAATAATTCAAATGATACTTATAGATTATATAGTGGATTCAATCCTTCTACTAATAAGATCAATGAAGAACAGGAGGATTTTGATGAAGAAATTTATGTTTCAAATAAAATAGTTGTTTGGAGTAGAGGCAATGTATTATACAAAAGTTTTAAATATGATGAGCCTGTAATTCAAGCTTTATTCGTTTGGTTTAAAGTAGATCAACGACAACAATCTAATAATTATACTACAACTTCCACTAATAACAACAACAATCACAACAAAGATTTATCTGGTAGGCAACGTTGTCTGTTTGTAATTCTTGAAAATTCTGCTAAAGTCTACTTCCTAGATGGTCAACAATTCCTATTAAGAATTCCCTTTGTTGTAAAAAAAGCTTGGGCAATGAATCTAGGAGTATTATTCCAGTGTCAACATAAAGATATTGATGAAAATGATGATTATTACCATTATCATACTAGAGACTATATAAATTATTCAAAATTTGCAAAGTTGCATTTACCAACTTTATACAGTCTACTAGATCCTTTAGAAGAAATAAAACCTGTTTCAATAGTTGATAAAATTTATTATGATGGTTCAAATATTAAATTGTCAGGTCACAAATTTCTATTCACATATCCTGATGAACATATAGTGTTTGTTAATGATCAATGTGAAAATGGTAATCATATAATAGTCACTTTGAATCAATTTACTTTACGACATTCTGTATATAGATATATTGTTAAAAAAGAAAATTTAGCTGCTGCTGCTGCTGCTGCTGTTGCTGCTACTGCTACTGCTGTAAATGATAAAGCTGAAGTGTACATTGAGCTTGTATGGACTGAAGATATTATTGATATACAAGATGTAATTATCATTTTTATACAATTATTTATTTTTATTTATTTATATTTTTGTTTATTGTAAATTTTGTTATTATTATTGTTATGTTGAATAATCTTTTTCAAATTTAATTTATTAAAAGTTTATTCTTGATAACAGTGAGCCATGCATTGAGGAGAATGAGAATGAAGAAGAGCATAATAGCAAAGTATTCATTGCTCATGAATTTGATGGTCATGAAATCCTATGTTTATTTTTACAACAAAAACAAAAGCAACAATCAATCAATAATAAATTCAAAGCTCTTAACTTGATATCTAATAATTTCTCCAGTGATGGCAGCTGTTATGAACTGGAAATAACACCAAATTTTGAGTTAAATAATGTAATTGCTGCTGAACCTGTTTATGCAACTAGATCATTGCTTTGTGATGTTTTATTATTGAAAAAAATTAACGATGACAGTTACATGCTTGAGCTATGGATTGGTTGTGGCGAATATGTTCTTTTACAACTGGATTATCATCTAAACACTATACTAAAACTCAACTCTAATTCATCAAAAATTATAATGTTTATTCTACTGGATTTTTAAAGCCATCATCAATCAAAAATCAATTGGATAATTATAGGTATTTGATAAAGCTTTTGATCATAAATAAATGTTACGAGTATCCAACATTTGCTTTATCACCATGGCTCTCAATTGATCACGAAGAATTAGCATTTAAATATTCAAATGAAATTTATTTACCACAATTTTTGAAAGCAATACAAATTGCCTCTAATGTTCAAAAACATTATATAATGGGATCAGTTTATAATTACATTGTTAATCATAAAGAAATAAATTCAATTAAAGATCCTATTCAAAAACAACGAATTATTAATGCAAAAAATTATCCACACTATAGTGAGCTATGGTTTGGAACTGAAAAAATCAAAATTTATGATTTTTTAAGATTGACCATGGATGATGATGATAATGATGATTCAAAAAAGGAATATTTTAGAATCACATCAATTTATAGGTTGCCAGATAAACGGATTCAATTCACAGGAGATATTTATACACTTAAAAATTCAGATATGATAAATGATGATGATGATGATGATGATGATATAGCTAATATAGTTAAAATTAAAAATAAAATGCACAGAAATTTAAAAATTAGAGATGATGAATATATATCAAAGAATTATATTCAGGAAGAGTACACTGTTGATTTAGAGGATATTGCTGGGCGGTTTTATCCAAATATGGATTTATTCAATAAAAAAATGAATGTCAAAGAAGAGAAGACTTCAAGAGAGGAATTATTTGATCTAGCAATTGATCAATTTGTTGATAATGAATCTTCTTCTTCTTCAAGTAAAATAGATAATAAATGTTTTATGGATAATGTTTTGTCTAATAAACAATCAGTGGCATCAACTGATGCTGCTCAGATTTATAAAAGTGAGGATGATGAAGATGCCACTATAACTGATGATGATAATAACAGTACAAATGATAAAACTGTTATAAAAGAGTCACTACAAGAATGTCAAAGTTATAAATCAGAAGAAAATGAGATGATTATTGATAATTGATTCTATAGATGTATGTGTCTAAATAATTTATAAGTTTAGATAATAAAATTTTTCATTTATTTATTCTTTCTCTTGTTTAATAATATAAATGATATAAAACAGTTTCCAAAAAAAATTCTTATGATAATAAGCGTGATGGATGATAAATAATTTTAGAAATATATTTTTATTATTTTTATTGATATAAAAAGAAATTTGATCTGATGATTTTTAATTTCAATAGATCTTTTTAAAAAAAGATGTATAAATCATATTTAAACAAAAACTTTTATTCAAAATTAAAATATCATTTAAACTCGAAACTTAATTATCATTCTGTTCGTTTATTTTAATTAACTGAATATATATTATTATGATGTTATCACTAACATATTTTAACTTTCGAATAATAAAAGAAATCAACTCAAAAATGTTTATCAAAAATTTTTATGCCAACCATTAAAGAAACTTCCAAGTCACATAGTAAAGAAGAAGAAAGTTTGACTAGCTCTTCAGGAGAGAGTTATCGTTTAATGACTCGAGCTGGTTTTATTAGACAAGTATATTTTCATGTTCAAATTAGTATCAATTAATGTATCAATAATGAACAAAATAAACATTCTTAAATGTATTATTAGTCGTCTTCAGGTATTTATACCTTATTACCATTAGCATTGCGTTCACTTGAAAAAATAGAGAGAATCATTGACATTGAGCTAGAGAATATTGGTATGAGAACAAAAATATTGGATCTTTGAATATGAAGAATATATTATGAATTTTATCCTGATTAGTGTATTTTCCTTTATAAGGAGCGCAAAAGTTATCCCTTCCTATTTTGCTTAGTTCTAATGGATGGAAGAAGACACGAAGATGGGAGTCTTCTGGAGAAGAGGTTAAAAATATTTGATTAATTAACTATACCACCTACATTTACATACTTCAAATTTATGTAACGTTTTATTTATGATAAAAAAAATACAAGTTATTTCGTCTTAAAGATAGAAAAAAATCTGAATTTTGTCTGGCACCAACACATGAAGAAGAAATTACTCAATTAATTGCCAATGAAATAACTTCGTATAGACAACTTCCATTGCGATTATACCAAATTGGTAATAAAAATAATTTTTAATTTAAAAAGATTTTCTTTTTAAATAATTTTCTTCTTGTTTTATTATTATAGGAAGAAAATATCGTGATGAAATGCGTCCTCGATTAGGATTACTTCGAGGACGAGAATTTATAATGAAAGATTTATATACTTTTGATACTACTGAGGAACTGGCTTTGCAAACTTATCAAGAAGTTATATTGGCATATAAGAAAATATTTGAAAAAATAGGAATCCCATTTTCTATTGTAAGTATTGGATAATATCTAATTATATGTCAATACATTATCCACATAAATAATCTGTTATGACTTTTTAATTATTACAAATAATTCCAGGCCAAAGCAGATTCTGGTAATATAGGAGGAACCCTATCACATGAATTTCATTTTTTGTCTGAAGGTAAATATTTAAGCATGAATATTAAATAATAATAAATATGTATTTATTTTTTATTTTTTTTATTTTTTTATAGTTGGTGAAGATTTTATTTTGTCATGTTCAAAATGTGGATATAATGAAAATGTTGATATTAATAATAACTTTAAAGAAAAGATTAATATGTTGCCAAATATTCATCATGGAGATTATCATAATACTTCAATAGGTGGTGGTTGTCCTGTATGTGCAAAAGGAGATGAAAATAATTTTGTTCCACTTACTGTTCATCGAGCAATTGAAGTTGGGCATTCTTTTTTCCTAGGAACAAAATATTCAGAACCTTTAAAAGCAACTTTTGCCCCCCAAAATCCCAAAGTACCAGGTGAATTGTTACCAATTCAAATGGGATGTTATGGATTGGGAACTTCTAGAATGCTTGCAGCAATTATTGAATCATCACATGATAAAAATGGAATAATATGGCCTATTTCAGTCGCTCCTTATAGAGTATGTATTATTCCGGGATCTGATGAACCCTCAATACAAAGTACAACATCAGAGCTGTATGATATTTTAAATTGTAAATTTGAAATATTAAAAGATGAAATTGTAATTGATGATCGAACAAATTTGTCTTTGGGTTATCGTATGAAAGATGCAGAACTTATTGGATATCCTTGGGTTATGGTATTAGGAAAAAAATTTTTAGAAAATGGGAAAATTGAAATACAAGTAAGACAAAGCAAAGCAAAAAATTATTTGAGTGTTCAAGATTTAGATAAAATCCAATTCCAATGATAATATTTTATTCGTTATTTTCATTAAAAACTATATATTAGTAATAAATTGTTAGTTGATGGTTATTTATCAAATTGATAATGGTAATAGATAATTAATAATATAATAATAATACACAAGTTTGGTAAGATTATACAAGATTTTCTTTTCCCTAATACTAATTTAAATTTAGAAAAGATGTTTCCGTAATTTCCTTTAATAATTCCCATATGAGCAAAATAGTTTTGATCCGAGTCTCCATGTTCCCAGTATTTTTCATTTTCTAATGACATTGTCATTAGCCTAAAAAAAAAAACAAAACGACGAATGATTAACGATCATAATCTAAATAATTATATATAAAATTTCAATAAACAAATAAAAAAATTTGGCCAGGTTCGAGAAATCGAATAGCAACTTTGATAAATTTACTAATGAATTAGATTAAATTATGATACTCAACCATTAAATATGCTCATCAACAAGATATTGTACTTATTGTAGTGCCTGATCGGTTGCGGATATATAAATCAGGACTTAATAATGAAGCTTCTCTTTCGCCCAAGCTCATTAACACAAAGCTTTCTAAATTTCGTTGAGAAATTTTTTGGTGGCAAATCTGATACGGTGCAGATCATTTATAATCATTAATTGCATACGTAGTAACAATTGGTCAACTTTAAAATACCAAAACAAAAATTTAACCGATAAGTTTTATTGTTCATGACTCAAACTTCAAAACTTATTATTATCGGCTGATTTTTTTTTAAACTGAAAATTGGCAGAGCTTAGCATTTTGAAAATTCCGAATTTTGTTATACACTTAAGAAATTGAGACTAAGTGGCAGAAAATTTAATACATTATCACTTTTTTCACAATATGGTCTGTTTCCATTGAAAGGCCCTCACATATTCACATATTCAGTCCGATGGGTGTTTTATAAGCATCCGAAATTCTGGTCCGTCAGGCACCTTGGGATCAAGATGTTAATGCTGCCCATAATGTTATAAATTTTTGCACATGAACACTTGTAATGGAAAGAGATCTGAACCATTCATTTAGTGGTAGCAGCACTTCCACAAAACCTCCTCAATTTTAATTTTCTTTTCCTGATTTAGTGTAGCAAGTCATGGGTTACACTTAATATTAAAAAATCCGAAATATTTAGTTTTTTAATTTCCCGTCCTTAACAAATAAAGTTTTCTCTTTATTTTCCCTATATTGATAGATTTAATTGAACATGTCAACAGAAGGAAGAAAGATTTCATCAAAGGTTAATAATTAGATCAATTATTTCATTTAATTGTTTTTTATAAGTTCTAAAATCAAAAGTTGGTTGTTTTTATCCTATAGCTTGACGATAAACGTTTATACATTGGAAATCTTGATCCTTCAATAGACGAGTGAGTCAACAAATAATATTCATTTGTCTCTTTTTTTTATATAATAATTATATATTTTTTGTTAAAATATATATAGGTATGCATTGGTTAAACTATTTGAACCTTTTGGAAAGATAACAAATTTAGATTTTCTTTTTCATAAAAATGGACCTAAACGTGGTCTACCAAGAGGTTATTGTTTTTTAGAGTACAATAAGAAAGAGGTATTGATTTTTCTAAATGAAAACTTTTTATGATTTATTAAACCATTATAATAAAATTGGCTGTGTAAAAAAAATCTAGGAAGCGTTAAAAGCAATGACAGAAATGCACTCAAAATTAATAAAGAATCGATCAATAACTGTAACATTTGCTTATGCTGCACCTGAAAGTTATTATGATAGTAAAACAGGTACAATGAAGAAAAGATCAAATATAACTACAATTTCATTGATAAAGGCACATAACATGCTTAATGCTAGGTAGGCAATGATTTTTTTTACAAAATTTATTTATTTATTTATTTATTAAATTTGAATAATCTTGATAAAAATATATAATAAAAGTACGGACGCAAAAATAGTTGCATTAGAGAAGAAATTGGCACAAATGAAACAACAATCTTTACCTCAACAGAGACAGCCACAACAACAAAAACTACAATTATCATCGTCATCGTCATCATCACCACTATCATTGTTGCCATCTAAGCCCTCATCTACAAATATATCGAAAGAATCAACAATAATAAAATCAATATCGTCTTCAACACGTTCATCAACCTCCAAGGTCTCCAATGAACTTAGATACAAACCTTATTAAAAAAAGTTTTTATTATTGGTATTAATTTATTTATAGAATATTATTAATACTAATTTACAATAAAACTATTATAAAATTTAGATAATTAGACTTGAAAAAAAAAAGTTTTTAACTATTATTTGTAAAAATTTGCTTTTAGGATTACAATTTTTCAAATATAAAAGAAATTCATTCTTTTTACAACATGCAATTATGTATATATTCTTGTGGATACTACGAGTTTATCCTAGAATTTTCAAAATCATCATCAACACCAATAACATTATTCAATAAATGAATATGCAAATATTCCAGTTCTTTTTGTGAGTTTTGCTGAAGACAAGTATATAGTGTAGTATAATAGACAATACAGAAGATAGAGTCTATGACATTGAAGATCCTTCATTATCATATATATATATATATATATCTGTTAGAAAAAAAAAATACTAAAGTAAGGATGTTGTTAAAAGTTTGATTAAAATTGCCTTTTCTAATCAATAATGAATAATATATATAGCATACATTTTTTGCAATATCAAATTTTTATCAATTATAATTAATAAAAATCAAATAAAAGAAAGATAATTAAAATGATTACATATATATGTATGTATATATATATAATTTTTTAAGAAAACCCAAAGCCAAGATATTAATAAAAAAATATTATATTAAAGCATCAACTTGAAATGTCTTTCTTTCTATATATATATAACTTGATAAATAAATATGAGAAGATGATTGATAAGTTTGTCCATAAATATTTGAAATAACATCAACATTGATTTTCCTTGTTCTAATCAATGTCAGTGATTAAAATTAGGATCAATTATTTTTTTTGGCCCATTTTTAATAATTAGATTCGATGACTATGGTTCTTACTTGTGATATTGCTTCTATATTTTTAGCTCACTATTTTTTCTAAATTATTTCCTCTTTAATAGGCGATGGTTAATTAGATTTCATCGCAGAAGAGAAAGCTGTTAAGAATGATGGTGATGATGATGATAATTTATTATCTAAACTATCATGAGGTCTTTTTCTAGATCCTGGTTTTTTTAAAGCATCAAGAGGATTTGGTAATGGATAATAAGTCGTAATCCTTCCCATAATTTTATCAATAGTGTTTAGTGATGGTTGAGCACTTGGTTTTATACTTGAATATATTGTTTGATTTTTTATATAGATTAACTAATAAAAGGCCACCTTATCCAATATAGTAAATATTTTATTTACACGTTTTTCAGGTGTATCTGGTAATCTTACCATACCCTCAACCATTTTATAAACAGACTTAACAACTTTTGACATTTCTTCATATGTTATATATCCATCACTATCAAGATCATATATTTTAAATGCCCCTATGTAATTTATTATATATAGTGATATCATTAGATGAATATTGTACAAATGAATTCAATAAATATTGAAAAAATATATATAATTACACAAAAATACATGATAATTTTTCATCCAATTCTTCTCTTGAAGTCACTGATACTACACATATAAATTCTTTGAAACCAAATTTTTCCATTTTTATTTTTATCATATGCATTAAAAACATAATCTGCAAACTTTGAGGGATCACCATGTGGAAAGAATTGTTTTATGGTTTTTTAAAATTATTTTCTGCTAAGTTCACCCTTGGGACAATCCTTGAGAAATCCTTTGTACCTTTTACAATGACAATAATAATAATTATTGTTAAATGAATTATTTTATTTGGTTAAATGATTGATTAATTTACCATTGTTGAAGTTCGGTTTTTGTAACTTTATAAATAATAAAAAAGATTTTATTTAATTATATATATAGTCGGATTGTAAAAAAACAAAGTTGAATTGAATACATCTAATCCTTCATATGTCAGATTCCAGGTGTGGTTATTATGTAAGTTTCTGAGAAACCGTTTTTTTTTGGCAAACTATTGTTTTTCAGAAGATTTTTGATCGAACTTTTATTTTTTTAAAATGTTATTCTCCTAGATGTTGAAAATTCGCATACATATTTCTAGAACCTTAATTACGACTGCTAAAAATTATTTTTATTTTTATTATGTACGTTTTTGTGCAATTAGTTGTTTTGTGGTGACCGAAACTTTTGTCCAGGAAGTGTATACTCAAAAAAAAAAAAAAAAGCTAATTTACCAGTTCAACTATAATTGTCCGAGGCCCTAACACAGGTGAAAAAATCAATTTTACCTAGGTTAAACATGCGAGGTCAAATTTTTGATTTTAACCGTTGTTGAATATTTACGAATGTTTGTCTTTTCTCTTTTCATTGACTCGTAAGCAGCTGCACAATTTTTTATCGACTTTTTTTTGAAAAAGAGGAATGGCATTATCTAACAAAAAAGTGCGGCTTTGTTTATTAAATATTTAGAAACAGCTTCAAAAGCTATGATTTTCAAAGCAACTGTTTTAATTACCAGATTATAAGAAAATTCCGCATAAAATATTTTTAAAAGAAATTTTATTTACGAGCGCGCGTGACATAAATGGTACTTATCCTTGTGGTTACACTCGTACATACACCATAAATATCCGACCACCTGATGATCATTTTAATAATCGGAAATGTTGCGCCTTATGCAGTTCAAAATTTTATTAATCAAACATGATTTTTAAAGTTAATTTGCATATAAACTTAAAGTCTCGTCGAGTTTGCATTATTGATGAATTTAGGGATTTTTATGAAAACTTTGAGCTTAGTAAAAACCTTCAAAGCTCAGTTGAATCATGGATTACGTCATTAAGTCCACTTAAAATACCTTGAATTATATATGGTTAAAATTTGAGAAAATTTGATCAAGTATAGACAACAAAACGTAAAGCCTTAAAATTTGCATT